ATTCTGAATGATCTTTATGGCCAATTCAGGTTTTGCTATTATGAATGTATGAACAGTTAGTAAACATTTAAAATATGAGCTTCTTAAAAAAAAAGGTGGGGGGAGGATATAGCTCAGTGATAGAGTGTATGCTTAGCATGCGCAAGGTCCTGGGTTCAATTCTCAGTACCTCCAATTAAAAAAAATAAATAAATAAACCTAATTACCCTCCTAAAAGTAAATAAATAAAATAAAATAAAATAAAATAAAATAAAATAAAATAAAATAAAACATGGGTTTCTATTCAGAGGTAAACTACTTACAGATCATTTTAGCTTTTGATACCTCTAGAAAAGGGAAAAGGACAGGGAAGATGGGGTGGGCAGGGGTGAAGTGGAGGAGTCAGGGAGAGAAGCAGGGAGAGCCCACACCCTGACACAAGGCCGCCTGCTCACACTGTCTATTCCCCCCCGCCCCAGGATTTGGGAGGGAGGCCTGGGCAGGGGCGGGGCTATGGCACAGGAAGCTGCCTCCCGTGTTCTCTTACCTGCAGACCATACTGCAAACAGTGGGATCATATAAGGCCAAAAGCCCACCAGGTCCAGCCTAGGAGTCAAGCATTTGCTCAGAAGTGTTGTAACTGACTCCAACTGTCCTAGCACAGGTAAGCTGGCCCTGGACCTGAGACTCAAATTCCCTTACTACAGAGGAAATCAGCACCTTCTCCCTGATCACGCTGGTTTCAATTCCATTCGTTCATTCACTCATTCTCTCACTCATTCATTCAGTGTAGTTGTAGGCGCAAGGAACGTAAGGGGGAGCAGATCAGACAAGATGACTTTCTGGTGGAGCTTACACTGGAGGTGACATTCTACCTTGGTTGAGGCATAAGCCGCCCCAGGCCCAGTGCTCCTCAGAGACCTAGCCGCTCTTGGCGTTTAAGGAAGGCCCGCCCTTTTGCTGTCTTAGAGGGCCGAGCAGACTTTAACTGCTTCGTTCCTGTTTCCAGGCTGCCCTCTTCTCCCCTTTCCTCGAACCACCCCAATAACACACACACATAAATATCGGAGCTCAAGCCCCTCTGTTTCAGACACTGTGCTCTCTCGCCTTCACCTTCTGTGCCTGGGGGAGGTCTAGGGCAGGCAGCAGGCACCTCTGGTTGGCTGGCTCAACTCAAGCGGCCAGAGAGCAAATACAGAAAATTTCATCCTGGAGGGAGTGGCGTTGTCAGCACTTCCGGTCATGGCTGGGTTACCCATGATGAAGATTTGCAGACATGGATGTCCGAGTAGCTCAGATGGCCAGGTTAGTTACAAGGACCAGAAGGGGAAGCCACACTGTTGAGAGGCAGGCTGGCCAGTCTCTGTCTACCCATCCGGCCTTTCACTTATTCTTCAAAGAGCCTTTATTCAGCACCTTCTCTGTTCAGTTGCACCCAGTCTCTGTCCCCCCAATCAGTGGCCAATAACAGAAAGCCCAGATGTACACATAGACTACATAATGACCAGCTCTGAAAGGAAATAAGTTATATCCTCATAGAGGAGGTGTTGTTCAACTCAAGTTCATGTGCCCGCTGCACAGTGAGGCCAAACACACCGAAACATAGGAGTTTGGAGCAGAGAAAGGTTTATTGCAGGGCCGAGCAAGGAGAAGGGGGCAGCTGATGCTCAGAAGACCTGAACTCCCCGATGGTTTTGGGGAAAGAGGCAAAATCAAACCTAGTTCAGGACTACTTTCTCTAAATATTCAAAAACTAAACAGCTCATCAAGCATTATATTATTCATACAATATAAACTGACTGTTTTAGACAACGAATCATCACAAAGGGTGTGATATGATTTGAGCCACAGATATAAGGGTCTGAGGATCGTCTGCCCCATGGACCTCACAAGCCCCTCCCTGCCTCGGGGACGCCAGCCCAGGCCTTTCTCTTGTGTCTACACATCAGCTCCACTCAGGCACCTCCTCTGCATCTTAAATAAGGAATTAGCTGGACTTCTGGATGGGAATGTAACTTTTCAAAGATTACATTGTAAGAGCTATTTTAAAACAGTCCTTTAGGGTTTAATGTAATTTCAAAATATGGTTTTAACTAGGAGGCAGGGTTGTTCAAAAAATAGTTATCGACAAAGGTTTCTTTCTAACGGCTGCAAGTATCTGAATGACCTTTGATTCCTTCAGATAACTTGTCTCCCAAGCAACAGCTAAAATCCTTCCCAAGCATGCGTCTAAAGCCCTGTTGAATACTAATCAGATTATGTAGAATTTCTGGCTGTTAGAATTGGCCACTTGGTACCACACGCATCCTGTGTGGGCTCGATGGCTTTCTTTGGGACTATTTGCTGCCACCTGGTGACTGAAAGGCCTCATGGACCCAGAATGGTTCAATTCTATAAGCTTCCGGTTCTACTCCTGATGGAGAGCTGTTTTTTGCTGACAGCCATTCTTCTGCTGTGAAAGTGGGACCTGTAAGGAAAAAAAAAATCAGCTAAGGACCTCATGTAAGTGCGGGGGTTTGCAATTAACATCAGATAAATATAAGAGGTCCTACTCAATTTTCAGCTGAAGAAAAGAAGCATAAATCTTCCTTTAATAAATAAAGCAAGCAAGAAAAATGTTCTTGAGCTCCATTTGACAGAGAAAGAGGGGAAAAGAAAAGGGAGAGAGAGTGAAAACTGGTGTAACAGAAAGTGGGAAAAAATAAAGAGAGGTAACTGAAGAAATCAGAATCTCTCCTTTCTTATCTCTTCCTGACCATCCATCATTCCACTCCATCCAAACTTATACCCAAAGTCTAAAGCAAGCTCTTCAGAGGCAAACAGACTGGTTTCCAGTTCCAGCTCTGTCACTCACTGGCTGTGTGGCCTTGGATAAGTTACTAACATCCCTGAGTCCCAATTCCCCTGCATGTAAATAGGCATGATTACCACATCAGGTTGTTCTGAGCATTCAGTGAGACCATGCAGATCAGGTGTGTGATGCTGGCATGGGGGTGGGGGGCTTCGAGATTAGTATGATTATTTCCAAGCCCACCTGCACTGGCTGGCCAGCCTCCCTGCTCCTATCCATAGGAGTCCGCTGCTAGCCACCTGGTCTCAGCAGAATGCCCATCTTCCACCCTCACACATCTCTGCAGCCCCAGCCTCGAGGCACAAACCCCCAGTCTGCTGCGTGGCTCCTCTTGAAGGATGTTGACTCAGCATGATCTGCACTGAAATGAAAAAGTGTTTTGTGATTAAAAAAAAAGGGGGACCTAGATTCAAACAAAAGCTCAGTATTGACCAATCTTCATGATGAGGGATTAAAAGACATGCTTTCAATACCAGTTATGTCCAAATGAATATTTATCATATATGTTAGATAAAGACCAAGCAAACAAGCAACTCCACCAAGTGCATGAAACGGAACAGTATCAACATTGTTTTGAGCTCTGTGTATCCTCTCCAGCCCCAGATTCTTCCTTTTGCCCCATTTCCACTATCTTAGATTGTGTTTTTATCAACCTCTTTTATTTCCTTATAGTTTGACCACATATGCATCTCTAATCAATATATATTTTTTAGTTTTGCATGTTCTTTGAATTTTATATACATGAAATAAAAGCAAGATATGTAAATGAAGCAATATAAATGAAATGAAGCCAATGTTTTCTTCGAGGGCTTTTTTCCATTCAACAATATGTTGCAGAAAGTCATCCATGTTGTTGCACATAGCTACAGTTTACTTTCACTGCAGATAGTATTCCACTGTGGGACTGTGCTACGGTTTATTTGTATATTCTTCTGTTTAAGATATTTAGATTATTTCTTTTATATGTCTCTTGGTGCACAGTGAAAGAGTTTCTGTGTGGCATGTGCCTTGGCCTGAAATTGCTACATCATAGGGTATATGCATCTTTAACTCTCCTTATAAAGCCAAATTCGTTTCCAAAATAACTGTACCAATTAATACTTCTATCTGCAATAGAGGTTATCTGGTTGTTACCGAGACTTGATATTTTCAGGCTTAAGTTTATCAGGCTGTTAAGCTTCCATTGTGGACTTGATTTACACTCTCTTGATCACCAGTGGGCAATTATTTATATGTTTCTTCTTCTTCTTCTTCTTCGTTTGTAGAGTGCCTGTTGAAATCTTTGTCCAGTTTTCTGTTGGGTCATTTGTCTTTTTCTTTTTTATTTATACAGAGCCTCAATTTTTAGAAAAACTACTAATGGATATAATCAGTCAAGTCCTAGATTTTCCAGCATTCTTTCCACTTAAAATTTGCCCTTTTTCTTCATAAACATTAAAATGTTTAGAAAGTTTGATTTCGCAACATCTCAACCACATTTGCAAAATTTGTTGAGTGGGCACAAACTGCCTTTCCAGGCTACGTGCCCTGCTTTTACTTTGGAAAATATGATTGTCATAAGCATACGTTCAATTGCTTTGACACTTCCGATGAGAAATGCTTCACCCTTCATGTCAGTGAGATCAAAGAAATGTTTTCATACGTTACTGCTCAAGGTTGAAAGGCAGGTGAAGATGACTGTTTAGGCTCTTCATCCCTTAAGGACATACCCCTGCTTTTCTTGTCATGTTCCGACATGCCTTTACATATCCCCATCTTCTCCTCCTCCTTACCCTTCGGTTAGAAGAAATTTCTGTTGACTGTGCTTTGGACATAATTTGGCACTCAGTAAGTACTTGAATGGAGAAATAACACTCAGAATAATACTCTGACATTGACACAATGAAGCTATCAGAAAGTAATTTTTAAGTGAAAAAGGAGCCTCCAATTAACTCTAGGTTTAGGATTTCAATTTCATCCTACTTTTAACATAATTTTTTATATGAACCACAGACAGCTCCATTAACTGCTTGCACGAGTCAACAGATTATCAGAACTCACAGAACGTGTGATGTGGAAGTGACCTTTACTATCATTGGGTTCTATCATCCACAGTGGAGAGAGAAACTGTTACCCAACACAACTTCGTGTCCGCAACACACAGTGAGGCCAAACAAATTGAAATGTTAGAGTTTGAGCAGAGAAGGGTTTATTGCAGGACCAAGTAAGGAGAACGGGTGGCTCATGCCAAAAAAAAAAAAAAAAAAAAAGCCCTGAACTGCCCAAAGGATTTCAACAAAGCATTTTTAAAGGCCAGGTGAGGGAGGTGGGGTACATGATCAACTCGTGCACAACTCCGATTGGTTGATGTTGAGGGAACAGGGTGGACAACACCATTAATCATTAGGCGCTGGAAGGTCTGGCGGCCACATGCTCATGATCATCAAGTAATCAATTTCTTTCACTTGGTAATTTTTTTAGCATCTGAAAAACTCAGGAATTATGCATGAGATATTGTTATCTGGGTACTTCAGAGAGGAGCTAAGCAGAGGACATGGGGAGAGGGTCTGTCCCAGGAAGGCCCCATAGGGTCCTGCTCGGTTACAAATCTAGAACATGAAAAGTCTCCGTTTTGAGTCTTCTCATGCAGAAGTGCATGAAGATCAATGTACGAGCCAGTTCTCTTTCCCTTGTACCTGGCATACGTCATCCTGCAGGGCTGTTATCCCGCTGTCATTGCTCCACACTGACATGAAGCCTCTTTGCAATGGCTTTCTGTGTTTGAGAGTCATCTTTCTGAATACATTATGTGCTTATTGAGGTTAGAAGCCATTATTCATGCTTAGGTTTAATTCTTTACAACACTGGATATGACATAAACTATCAATAAATATGTTTGCCATTTGAGTCAAAGGCTGAGGTCAAATTTAGAAATACCCCTGCTGAGGTGCCTATAACCTGTCCTGTCTATAAAGAGAACATGACCTCGTTTATTGTTTAATCCATGTTTTCTGTCCTTTCTGTTAGTACAGCCTTGTTAGCACATCCTACTGTTTCGTTTATGAAATGTATCACAATGTATGATCAGGAATCTTGTCTGTCTTACCAACCAGAGCTCCTAAAACAGGGCCTGGCCCATAGTAGGTGCTCACTGGAAACTTGTTGAATGAATGAATGAAGAGACAGTCTTCACCTTGAGGAAGCTCCCAATGCAGTGCAACAGGCAGCGGGCTGTAACTATGAGACACTGGGGGTGTTCTACGTGACAATGTGCTCTGCATTCACAGATGAGTGAGTGGATGATTCAGCCTCTGGTGGGGTGGTGAGCAGGGTGCCAGCACTGAAGAGTGGAGGTGAGGGGACACTGGGCAAATTTCTCAGAAAAGGGGATATTTGAGCTCCATCTCAAAGGGAAAGTAGGAGCCTCTAGGTGGAAAAGGAGGAAAAGGCTATTCCAGGTAAAGGGAACCACATGAGGCATATCAGGGTGTGCAGGGGCCTTCTAGGCAAAGAATAGCAGCAGAGGGCAGCGTGTGAAGGTGCGTGACCCAAGAAACACGGGCCTCCTCAGTGGCCCGCTAATAACATGTAAGGAGAGTGGGTTTCAGACCAAGGACTGAAACAAGAGCTATAACAAGCAGCCACTGACAGCACGAAGTGGGTGCAGCTTTTGAAAGCAGGACTGTTTTCCTTTCAGGTTTCCCGAGCTCCACCTTTCCGCCTCTCTCTGCACCCTTTTGCCATGTTAACAGCACCCAAAGCCGCAGAATATGCCCGCAAACAAAGTAAGCCTGTTTACTTCCATCCGCTGAGAGAAATTTAAGTAAAACTAGGAGGTGAGCTCACAAAGTAAAGTCGAAGTTGTTTTGGTAATAACATCTTTCTGTCGGGTTGAGTTTAAAAGAATCAGGAGCATTTATGACTTGATTTCCCTCCGTCGCTGAAATCAGGGAAGTTATTTCTCAGACCCTTTGGTGATGGGAACAAACCACTGTAGAAGGGAAGACTCTAAACCTGAGGGTGGACCCATTTAAAAAAAATTTTTTTTAGACAGATATGATTACTACATGTGTCTCTAGGTGTCAAGTTAGGAAGGGGAGCAACGAATAAAAATGCCACCAGCAGCTCTGCAAGGGAAGCAAATGCCAAGGAAAGGAAAACATCAAAGAATGTATCTTTGGACACACAGCCAAAGAACAAGGTAAGTCTAAAAATGCAACTTGAACCAAACTGATACCAGTTGTTTTGGGAATATTTAGATTGTAGTTGAAAGTCTAGCCTTTGGGAGTTAGATGCTCTGGGTTTGAATCCAAAGCCCACTACTTACCAGCTGTGTGACTTCAGGCAAGTGACTTAACCTCTCTGGGCCTTAGTTTATATTACTATCTATGTCAAATAGCCTCGGCCCCTCTCTCACTAATGAGAATTTTCTCTTTACCTGCTTTACATCTCTGCTGCTTCTGCCCTGACCATCTGATTCCTGGGATGTGTATGTTGCAGAATTCAGAGAGCAGTCAGAGATGGACAGGGCTGGAAAACAAGGAGAATGCTTTGCCTGTCTGGCTCTGCATTCTCAGCTATAGTGTGCAAATGGAAAGGAAATTTTAAAAGAAGTCAGAGAGACCAACAAGATCAACATAAAAAAAGCCGAGCAGGGAGAGAATCAGAAGAATGCTACAGCCTGGCTGGCTGGGATATTCTAGGATTTTGTTGAATAAGAGACTCTGGGTCAGCTGGGGAGTTGTAAGGTAGGAAAGGAAAAGGGAATTTTGAAACCTGAATCATTGGGTTATGAATTAGGTTTGCTTCAAGGAACACAAGTGAAAGTTAAATTCCTTTTTATTGAATTTGGTTGCTATCCTATGCATTTTTAAAATGTGAATCTCTGAATAGACTAGGCCACACAGAGCTCATGATTAATTCAGGCTCTTTTGAGACAAACTATTGACTAATTAGAAATGTAACCTTATCATTGCAAGTGCTTTAATTCATGTTTGTCAGGCACTTGGTATCTGATATTTGACCTTAACTCCCTATAAATTGAAAGCTAATATCTGTGTCCATGTTAAATTGATGTGCTTGATACCAAAATTATCTTTTTATTCTGCAGGTCACTTAGAAACTTGGAACTGCACCATGGGAGTTCACAGTAAAGTCTCTGGGAGGAGAAAAGAACCATCACCTTAAAACTGCACCTCTTGACAGCATATTTTTCTTTACAATTAGCTTTTGATGCAAAGTGTATTGAAGTGCTATTTTGGATGTTAAACCTTCTTCTCTTAGAATCATTCTGTTTGGCCATATTGTGGTTTTTATTTTTATTTTTAAAAGTATGTATATTATGCTATTTTGTTATGATTGGAAGATTGTTGGTTAGAGGATTTTGAGAATATATAGTATTTCTTTGTCAAAGCAGGCTGGCTTTGTAGTACATTTACAAATGTTTACCACTGAATATTGCAGAATGGTGGAGTAGGAGGCAGTTTTTCGAAGTTTCAATCCAAAGTAAAATTAATCTGTCATTGATTGCCTTTAATACAGTCTCATTTGGAAACATTTAAACTCATTTCAATAAAAGCATTAAAAGAAATAGGGGTATAGACTTTCTTTCAGGAGAATATAATGACTACTAGGAAAAGAAAATATTCTAGTCTTTGAACACCTTTCCAAAATGCTGATTAGGCACATAGTTAAACTTCAAAATACACATAGTAACAATCTGACCAAATGAATGTGGGTATAAATTATACCATCTTAAGGTTCTGATGTGCCACCTTTCTGTAGAACAGTTTCCTTTAACATGTGCCGAAACTGGTGTGTGGTTTGTTGACTTTTGCTGAAAATGGTGGTGTATTCCAATGTGGCATTGTGGCTGGGGAGACCGATGCAGCCTTTTCCACACTGGTTCAGTTACGGCTGTAAGTAAGATACATCAGTAGACCTGCCGCATTATGTGTATCCTCCTGTCCCTGGGTACACTGTCTAGCTTTGCAGGACTCTGCCCAGTTTTCCTTTGTCTGGGTTGGCCAGCTGCAAGGGAACGTTTTTTTTTCTTTGTGACTGTTGATTTTTCTCCCTTTAACAACTGCACAGTTGCTTTACGTGCTGCCTGAGGACTTTCACAAATGGCATCGTGGACATATTGCCATCTGTAGTTGGATGTCCCTTTAGAGCCCCTCCACAGGTCATGAACCACGAAGGTGTTTGATTTCACCTTCCTACATACACACAGGATGACAAAAGAGTTGGTGACTAGAGTCATCTACCTCTGTGTATCTGAGGAATGCTAGAAGCACTTAGAAAATTTTAGAAAATCAATAGACTGGCTGCAATGGAAAAAGCTTTTCAAGTAGTCACCTGGGTTCTATGAAACAGTGATGCTTTGGGGAGGGAAAACTCAGGCAAATCGTGATGCTAGTTTTGAAAACAAAAAGCAACCCTAGAAGATGGATCGGGGTGGGGGAAAGCGAGTGGGAGGATCCTGTGTATTTTTCTGCTCTTGGAGTGTCTCAGAGTCTTAGAGACCTCCTTCTTTTTAGCCCAAGGAGAAGTGTTTAATCTCAAGACAAAATATGGCTATTTCCAAAGTTTGCTGCTTTTTCACTAGCAACTCAAAGCTATACATTTACAAATTGATTTTATTTTTTCTTCTCATGAAAGTAATATATATTTATATAATAGAAAATTAAGGCAATTGAAAACAACAAAATGAAATAAAAACATAAAACTAAGAGCTATCATCTTGCCATTCACTGACAACCATGACTGACATTTCAGTTTATACATACATCATTATAATCTTTTTTTTTCCTATATAGACATGTGCAAAATACTTTTATCAAAAGCATGTCATACTGATGAGGTAATTTAGGAAGTGTAATTGTCTTCCAGTTAGAGGATTTTTTGTTGCCCTTAGCACTTCAAGTTCTTCTGGAACTCATAGGATGGTCACGAGTCACCCCAGATGGAGCCACCAATCTCATTTCAGCAGTTTCCATAGGCAAACTTTACAAAACACTGGGCATGTAATGTATTTCTAGAGAGCTGCATAGGATGAGAAGTGCGTCCTTTGTCTCCAAGGTCATAATGGCTCTGCTGACTTCAATTCCTTTCACTGAAGCGAGTGAGGACAACCCGAAAAGGCCAGAGAGAATGAGAGCCCCCAGCCCCATGATCCCAAATGAAAAAAAGAGAGAGAACATAGAAATCCCCTCCCGCACTACCCCCAGGCCCCTTTTGTGTCGTTCTTGCCAACACAGCAGCCGTCCTGCTATATATACCAGCTGCCACGCTTGTCCCCATCACGCTGGACGCTGATCACCCGCTGTCAACAACCATGGGGAAGGTGAGCCAACCGAGGTGCCATACCATGCCTGTTGAGCGTCTACTGAGTCGGGGGATATACCTCCCAGCTGATTTCCTGCTGTCACCTTGTTTTCCACCTGCAGATCACCTTCTACGAGGACCGGGGCTTCCAGGGCCGCTGCTACGAGTGCAGCAGCGACTGCCCCAACCTGCAGCCCTACTTCAGCCGCTGCAACTCCATCCGCGTGGACAGCGGCTGCTGGATGCTCTACGAGCGCCCCAACTTCCAGGGCCACCAGTACTTCCTGCGGCGCGGGGACTACTCCGACTACCAGCAGTGGATGGGCCTCAACGACTCCATCCGCTCCTGCCGCGCCATTCCTTACGTGAGTCTTGCTTCCACCTGACTATTGTGAAAGCATCGCTGATTCGTGGCCGTAAATTCCTGCTTATAAAAGTCAGTTGGTTACAACTCAGGACTAGAGTTCACAGTAAACTAGCAATGCTGATTCTCAAGCATTTTTAAAAAATGATATATTTACTATACTTCACTGTATTCCCCTATGGAAACATTTTAACTCATTTCAATAAAGCATTTTAAAAAATAGATTGTTTTCAGGGCACGAGAAATCACAACAACATTGTGAATTAATTTGATAACATCCACCTGACCCCCTAATTTCTAAATACATATCAAAATCACCTTGTTAAGTAAAGAAAAAAATCTACCTAGACCATTATTTTTTAATGATAAAAACACTGAGAGACTATGGGAAAATAACATAGGAATAATATATTCTGACTGTATTGGCACTTGTTTTCAGTACATTCTCAAGGATGTACAGATCTAGAAACTAGAACAATATGTTTCAGCTTGTAAGTAGCTCCTTGTATTCCAGGAGTTGTTATCAACTAGTTTCTTACAAGAGTCAGAGACAGATCGTTGATAAGGATTTCATGGGATATGGTCCTCACCAAAGAGCTGCTTAATGTCTCTTACATGGAATTTGTGTTTCCACTTTCTGATGACACCAAATGGTGTGACAGGGCAAGTAGTTTCAAGATGTGAGATCAAAATTTGGCTGGAGAAATTTGCAGATGCAAAAAAGAGGTAGAACTAAAATAGGATCTACTTTGAGGCATGAATCTCAAATGGTACAGGTGACTTGGCAAAATGTCAGACATATGGCCTCAGAGAAAACACAGACTATTGTAAATGCTGAATGCAACAGTTACTTAAAACGAGCTTGATAGGACTCAGTTATATGCAGCATAATGGAAAAGAAAGTCAGAATCCTCTCCGCAGACTCACTAGTATGGTTATGACAGGTGACTTTTTATGAAGGAATCTCTTTTATTGCCCTTATTTCAATGCTTGTTTCTTCCACAAGATAGTCCTCTGGTCAGGTCAGCTTTATTTTTAATACTCTCCCTAATCAGTTAGGCTGTCAATATATGGAGAGGTTACATATATAACAGGATGGTCTGAAAACCATGCTGCATGAAGCTGCACGCTGATTTAGCCCCTTTCATTAACATCAAGTGATGCCCACAACTTATTTTTCACCTTTGATTTGTCATCATGACAGACCAGCTCTCACAGGATAAGGCTATATGAGAGAGAGAACTACGGAGGCCTCGTGTCAGAGCTCACGGAGGACTGCTCCTGCATCCACGACCGCTTCCGGCTCACTGAGCTCCACTCCCTCCACGTGCTGGAGGGCTGGTGGGTCCTCTACGAGATGCCCAACTACCGGGGGCGGCAGTACCTGCTGAGGCCTGGGGACTACAGGCGCTACCACGACTGGGGGGCCCTGGACGCCAGAGTTGGCTCTCTGAGACGGGTCGTTGATTTGTACTAGGCTGTGTTTTTCTTGTTAAGATCCACATAGACATGCATTAAATATACAACTTGTGTTCCTGGCACTAGTGATTCTTGTTCATCTTAAATAATAACTGAATTTTAATAAATGGTGAGCCCTGGCAACTTACTTGGTCAAGTGTTTTGAATGTCTACTTACTTCCTGCTGGTCAGGCAGCCGTATTTATGACGCCCTCACTCACATCATGAGAAGGAGAGAGAAACACTGTCCTTGCCTCTACGACCCACAATCTGAGGGAGAGAGCAAAGAAACATAATGAAAAAGTATTAAATCCACGTACAGGAGAAAACAGAGAACGTGGCTAGGACACCAAAGACAAGGGATTGCTGGAGAGATTAAGGCAGCTGAAGTCTCTGATAAAATTAGTCAAGAGAAGCTGAGAGAAGAGAGGAGCTTTAAGCAGAATTATCAAAGTAGAGAAAGTTGAGTCTGCTTGATGAGGTCAGATGACGTAGGAAAAGTGCTAAGTGAAGAGTCAAAGGGCCTGAGTTGTTATCTTGCCTCTGCTACTTGCTAATACAGTCACCTACTCAGACTAGTTTTCCAGGGGCTCTCCCAGCTTTAGCACTGAAAGCTTTACATCCTGGAAAGCCCCTCGGTCTTAGGTAAATGAGGATGGTCAGTTACCCCATTTACTAGCTTACTTCTTTGAGTAAGTCACATCTTAACATCTCTGTGCCTAAATTACCTTATTGAAAACTACAGGTAATAATAAATCCCTGCTTCACTCAATTACAGGATAATTATGATGAAAAGATGGTGAAAGGTTGTGAACACACTTTGTTATCTTTAAATGATTGTACAAACATAAATGTAAGAAATTAATGTATCCTTGCGGGAGGGTATAGCTCAGTGGTAAGAGTGCGTGCCTAGCATGCACAGGTACTGGGTTCAATCTCCAGTACCTCCATTAAAAAATAAATAAACCTAACTACCTCCCCCCCATTAGAATTACCTGGGGAGCTCAAAAGAAAAAGACAATGCCCTTTGGACAATATAACTGAACCCAGTAAAAGAGGGTTCTAGGTATTTCTAGCATTAAAATAAAAACAGAAAGAAAGAAATTAATGTATCCTCAGTGTTCTCTCAAGCTCAACAGTATACAATATAGTCATCTTTATCTTGGACTCCAATATTAATTTTTAACAAGATTCAATTATTGAAGACTCAATTATGCAGAGGGAAGTAAGAATATTTGCTAGGCTGCATTCACTCTGGGATTTCTTTCCACTAGAGTAGAGCTGTTCTCCCAGAATGCTAATTCTTTTTCCAAATTTACATAAGCAAAAATAGTGCTCTGTTCCAGTAAACTTCTTCATAGAAATTGATAAGCTGATTTTAAAATTCATACGGAATTTTTCAAAATTCATATGGAATTGCAAGGGACCCAGAATAGCTGAAA